TGGGAGTGCAGCTGGTCTGGCATCCCCGCTCGGAACAGCACCAGCAATACGCGGATATACTCTCCAAGTTCGGAGACAGCTCGCAGGGGTGCTTAGACGACGCGGTTCACAAGCCTGTGGGCGGAGACATGCCTGAAAGGATGCGGGCCACGGTCGTCATTTTGCAGACGAATTCTCCACAAAAGTACCAGGGGTGCTTCTTTGCATCGCTATTGGAGGCCCCACGCCCTAGCAGTGGACGCCTTCACCCAAGACTGGAGAAAGTGGAGCCGCCAGGACGTTCTGTACCTTAAACCCCGTTTCGACCAGACGGGCGAGTAGTGCACAAGGTTGCCGAGGAGAAGCCGGACTGTGTCTCGATCATCAGGTTTGGCCGCGCTGGGGAGAGCTAGGCTGGCAACGTTACCCATAAAAGCGCGGAGGCGTTTGCCGCACATCCTCACCCCTTTCAGGCCGAGTTACGCGACCGAGGTAGTGTTCATTTTGAGGTAAGGCAGGGCCGACTAGGCGCGAGAGTACGACAGGGAAGATAGCGAAAGCGAGGATCCAAGGAAGCCCGGAGACATGACAAGGCTGAGACTTGCAGACGAGCCGCAAGGCGGTGTGGCTGGGAGGTGGTGTGGCCTGATTAAACATTGGGATCGGGTGTAAGGCTGGACGCAAAGGCCCACTTCACGCTAGTCCGGTACGGAGCGACGAGCATTTACATTCAAGCACTCATCGTGGCATCCCAACGAGAAACGGAGCCTATGCCCTTTCACTCCGAAATCCCTCCCATCAAGAGCTCAACAACATAGAACTTTACCCAGAACCTTTACCCTGAACTTTACCTCAGCTGTTAAACCTGTACGACGCTGAAGACACTTTTTCCTTGTTAGAAACTTTTGCCATGTAGGAGGGGCCATGACACGATTTATAACTCTATTCCAGTTGTTGAACACCATACTATTCCGAATTGCCTTGTAACCAGCGACGCGACCTTCGGCTCTTCCAGCTTCTCCTTACCGCTTGTGATCTTCCCATCACAGAAGGCTTGTTGTCGCAGAATTAACCTTTCAGTTCGTAATCAATCTCACTTGTGTTGATTAGCCCTTATTTAGGTGGGTCCTTTTAGGTGAGAAGACGAACCCAAAATAAGCATGCGTTTGGAGCACAGGAGACCTACGGGCCCAAGTAGGACCCTCGACGATGCTTCAAAGCGAAAATTACGTGTGGAATTTTCAGCATCTCCAAATCGGCCAGCATATCGACGGTCGCGACTTGCAACAAGGGCTCGTTTGGAAAACGCGGATACCCATGCTGTCATTGCAATTGGCCGCCATAAGCCCACCTACACGAACGCGAACTTTCCAACAGATGCAGAGGGGCGGACGTATCACTTGGGGACAAAGGTGCGCGTGCAAGCTTGCTAGATTATGCCGCCTCAACTTTGCCTCTTCGCATGCACGTGCACGTGCAACTTTGTTCTTATCTGCTATCCCTCAGGAGGGTGAAGTCGCGCCGCGGATTCTTAGCGTCGGATCTGTTAGTCGTGCCCAGTTGCTGAGCACGTTGCTCGAACCCCCCGCTCTTGGCAAGCCACTCTTCCAGCGCACATCCAGTCGCGGCTTCCTCACTATCACGGGTGAGTCACAAGTCACGTTTCGCCAAGCCCTGAATCGCATATCAGCCTTGTAACTACGCGAGCTATCGTACAGGGATGAATCAGGGGTCGTTTGCTTTGAGGTCACCCAGTTTGGCTCCCATCTCATGCAACCTCGTCAGTCGATGCCCAAATTCGCGTACCACCCTTTGACACGTACTCTTATTCCGCATGCCCAAGCAGTAGGATGCACTGCGTCGTCTTGCTTCTAATAAGAAACTTATATGTAAACTCAGTTATTTTACTCGCCACAACGACTAGATCGTCGCGCCCTTAAAGAGTCAAAGTTACAACCCAAATATGTCATATCGCAAGCCCCACTCCTCTTCGTTTTATCCGAGCGCACATCATAAATCCGTATGGATGGTGTGTGTCGTCCCATAATTACTTCATCATGTTTTTTAAAGCAACTGCAGCCCTTGCTTTGAATACATGCAACCTTAACGGCTGCTGCCTTTATGGCGGTGGAAGAGCCATATGACCTAGTACGAAACGCAACGGGATTCCCAACCTCTCACTACACAAATGAAAGTGGGAGATTCGGGCCCCCTGGTCCCCACCCACGTTCTTTTCAATCGGTCTTCGCCGCAATCCCTTCCCCCCTTCCCTCCCCCCTTCCCCCCCCACTCCCCACTCCCCACTTCCCCCCCCACTCCCCACTCCCCACTCCCTCCCCACTCCCCACTCCCCCCCCTTCCCCCCTTCCCTCCCCACTTCCCCCCCCCACTCGACACTCCCACTTCCCTCCCCGGCTCCTTCAGGTCGCTACGAGGGCCTGCCCGTGAGCATCGTGAGCACCCATATGGGGCTGCCAAACATGGATTTCGTCGTACGGGAGAACCGGGCTGTCGTACGCGGGCAGATGGCGATTATACGGCTTGGAACGTGCGGAGCCGTGCAGCGCCCGGCCAAGCTGGGTGACCTGCTCATCGCGACCCACGGGTCGATTGCAATCCGTCGGGACCCCGACTACTGGACGTTTCAAGAGGATTATGACTCAGGTTACGACTCATCGTCGTCGGCTGGATCCAACGTCAGCAACGGCGGGGCCGGCAACGGAAGGTCCAACGGTGCCGCTGCGAACGGCACCGCGACGGCGGCAGTACGGAAGCCGTACGTGACGACGCTGCCGGTGCCGGCCAACCCGCAGCTGGCGGCGCTCCTGGCGGAGGAGGCTTCCCGGGTGGTGGGACGTGATCGAGTGGTGGAGGGCCTTAACGCCAGCGCGGATAGCTTCTACAGCAGCCAGGTTGGGGGTTGCGGGCTGGGGAGGGGGGGGGGAGAAAGACGAACCACGAGCGAGTGAAGCTGCTACCAAGCGAAGAGAGCTGCGGCAGGGGGAGGGGAGGGGGCCGGGGATAGGGTTAGGCGGCGGGAAGGGTGCAGGTTATGGTTACGGGGAAGTGGGTGCGGCTGCTGGTCTGCGGGTTTTATGTGGGTCAATGTGCCCCCGTCTTCCACGCGCACTCTCCTCCTCCTCCTCCCCTTCATACAGCGCCGGGTGTCGCGCTGCGTTTCTGTCGGTGTTTGTGTTGGAAAGTGAATATATATACCTCATATACATTCATATATACACCAGTGAATGGTGACAGCAGTAATAGGACCCGGGGGTGTCCCCGGGGGCGCATTGCTAAATGATTGCTAACATTTCGCAACTCCACGCATGGAGGCACTGCCGGCGAGATAAGGGGAGTAGATTCAGTCTTTCCCCCCTTCCTTTCCCCCATTTCTTTCCCCTCTTAAATCTCCTGGGGCAGTTTCGGACTTTGGCCGCCTTCCGGCAGTTGCTTTATTGTTTCCTTTATTGTTTCCTGGCATGTGATATCCGCCCCCCCCCCCCGGGGCCGGGGCCCGTGGTTCATCTGGGTCGCAGTACTTTTCCCGCTTCCGAGCCCGCCGGAATAAGCTAATGTGCTGTATTTCTTAGGCAAGCACCCGCCGCCGTGCCGTTGGCGTTTTTTGGGGTTTTAGGCATGGACGTGCCGTCCTGGCTTTCAGACGCACGACGAAAATATTCATCTTAAATACCCGTCCAGATGCGTACGTGCGTATGTTTATCTACATTGTGTTTGTATTGCTTGTATTGTTTGCATTGTGTATGTATTTGTGTATTGTGCATGTATTTGTGTATTGTGCATGTATGTATTTGTGTATGTATTTGTGTATTGGGGTGGGGTGGTTGTAGGGTCGCACGGGCTCCGAGTTTGACGACCGGAACGAGGGTCTGTTGGCGGAGCTGGTGGCGGCGCACCCCGACCTGGTGCCGCTGGAGAT